GTTGGGGACCACTGCTGTAGGATATAAAAAATATTAAATACAGATTTAAAATATGTGCTTTAAACTGAGATCTGAAGCAAAACTCTACCATACTCACTTGTTGCCATTACTAAGTTTGTTGAGGGCATCGCGTGAGATCACATGACCACATATAAGTCTCATAGGAGGATTTGATTCAGTGCTCTGCTGTCTCAATATAGGACACGCAAACACAGAATGATATCGGCTGTCCTGTCCGAGGTCAATCTCGATCTGCAACACGAATGATAAACCCTATCACTGCTGGCTTACCACCCCCACCTAGTCATTATTAGCAGTTAATCAATAGATCATTCAGTTGGTATGCGGAAAAATATCGCATCTCCGTCATTAAAATATGTAATAACCAAAATTATAAATACTCCTTACTGGTAGTTCATCCTTTCCATTCCAGATCCCCGTTACTTGCCGCTGTTGCATAACCTGTTTTATGTTCAAGAGGGCCGGTAAAGCCGTGCAGCCCGCGTTTATACTGCAAGAGAAAACACCGTCACTCGGATTTATCACGCCAGTGTGAAATGTAAGTCCTAAAAAGGTAACGTCTGATGTTAACGCCGCTGAATATTACGTACTTATAACTGCTTCGATTAGGGAGGTTCATGTTTTAGAACCTGGGCCCAGAGATCGACCGTCATTCCTAATCATTTGTTTTTATTTTTTCTCAGCCCCACCAGACAACCACCACTTCCTTCCACATTCTTTCCAATTCAGTATTCATCTTACCATCTGTCATTACGAGACAAATATGACTGCATCATAAGCATGAAGTATATGTCTTGTAGCGTTTAACTTAATTCTACTTAAGTATTTTGCTCAGACAAAATTAAGCAGTTTATGAGTGGTTGATAAAAATTATAATTTTATGTATTCCATCTTCAAACACGAAAAAGGTCGCGAAAATTGTTGCAACTCACCAAACAGACAGGGGACTGTCCACACTTAGACCAAGCAGTGAGCAGGCATCACGGGTAAACACATCGTAGATCTCAACCCACAAGTTTGGTTCAAGCAGGCGACTATAGGGGGAGGAATTGATTCCATTTGGCAGGAACAGAAACATCCCCATAAGACTTTGAATCTCTTTAAAAAAAATAAAAAGGAGAATAAGTCTGAGTAGAATGAGGGAGAGTTTAAAGGATGAGGAGAAGACGGGGTAAGGAGGAAATACGTGACAAAAATACGAGGGTACGATCAGGAGGAAATTAAATGGTGAAGAATCAGACAAATATTTATTTTAAAAACTATTTTTAGTGTTCATTTCTGTCAGAAGACTACACTGTAGGTTGAAAACTCATGTATTTGGACTATCTAATGTAAAAAAAACTCAACTGCATAATTAATTTCTTAAATACACAATATTTCTTACCTTTCTCGTGCTTATTAATGAATTGCTGGAAATGCGTACGTGCGTAATGAATCGCCTCGGCTTGTCCGGTATGTCCTCGCTGTATCAAGTCAATGAACTGCAAACGATGTAACTTAAATTCTAAAGAAGAGTTCTGTTAAGAAAGAAATGCATGTGTGTGGTACATGATATAAAAATATTCACATAATTTGATTTCCAATAAAGGCAGGAAATTTTTTAAATTCATAAGACTATCCCCATATTTTCCATAAATGACGAGCTTAAAAATCTGTACTCCTCCCCCAATATTGTCACGGTGATTAAGTCGAGAAGAATGAGATGGGCGGGGCATGTAGCGCGCATGGATGGGACAAGAGGTGTGCTCCGGGTATTGGTTGGGAAGCCTGAGGGGAAGAGACCGCTGGGGAGACCTAGACGTAGAAGGGAGGATAATGTCAGGCGGTATCTATGGGATGGGAGACAGGAGTTGAACGAGACTGGATTTTGTTGTCCCAAGAGGGCTTTGGTTAATTCGGTGATAAACCTTCGGGTTCGGTAAGCCATCTAGTTAGTTAGTTATCCCTGTTACCTGTGTGTCAAGACTCTCTCTATGTGACTGAGCCCATTCCAGTGCTGGGCTGAGATCCCTCTGCTTGAGTGAGTCGAGGATTCTGTTCAGTTCGGAGAAAGGTTCTTTACCTCCATCTTCCATTTTTAAACCAGCCTCCTGTTTGAATCACGAAATTAACTCTTATAACCAAAGCTCTCGTAAATAATACTTATGAATTCAGCCCATACCACAAAGAAAACATGGCCTCCACATCAGGTTGGGTATATTTTTTATAAGAGGGGCCAATTGTGGTTGTTCTGCTGGAACAAGTGAAGTCTTCAAAGAATCCAAGAAGTACAAACTATGTCAAGTCTCTTCATTTCTCTTTAATTTACAGACTTGAGCAGCCATTTCCATCTATCTCAACTTTATGAGCTTTAACGACATAGGTCACATAATGCTGAATGGGCAGGCAAAAATTAATAACGTTATTTTAAAAAATAAGCGAGAGAGGATACAGAAGGAAAATGTTTATTTAATGTTTCCTCAACTGTATGCGTTTTATATTGCTAAATTGAAGAATAACAAAATGATGATTTGGTAAAGGTGGAAGAAGGTACTAACCCAGCATTTGCCTAGAGAAACAAGAAAAACAAAAACAAAAAACACTTGCAATGTGGCAAAAATGTGAACTGTGCCCCTCCCCAATGGAACATCAAAATGCTGTTGTTACATAGACCTATTTGTCTCTCAGACAAGGGCAGATAATGTTGAAATGAATCTTGTGGACTTTACATAGATTAGATTCAGTTGGCAACATAGCTTTGTTGTCATGGTTACTAAGAATGTGTCCTACTATAATGGGTAGAGAATGTGGACCTACCTGAGCCAGTTCATCTGCTATATCCAGCATTCCTTGCCTATAGAAGTGTTGACATATCACTTGGTTCAACAACTGCACTTTGTCTGACCCAGAAAACACATCTTCACGACTTGTTGATGCAAAATCTGCTACAAAAGACTACAAAGAGGAAAACAATTCAAGTTTACACTTAACAGGATTTTCATTTGCTTTATTTTCATAAATGTTTTATTAAACAAAACTGACAATAGCAACACCAATGCTGTTAAAGGTTAATGTAGAAAATCTCAATACGTATTAATGGGAAAAATTGTGTACACGTGGTTTTATCTCCTCTCCCTCCTCATATCTTAATCTTCCTTCCAGCACAGGTCTTCATGATTCTGATGTTGGATCATGTTTTATATGGACAAGTACCACACTTTGAAGCTGAAGAACAAGGCATAATACTGGAAAACTCCACACTTAGTATGAAAATAAAACTTACCCTATCAATAGCTTTTCCTACTTTTGACACTGTGCTGTGTAGATCTCTGTGTTCTGATGCTATTCTATGTACTGTATCCCGGATTTTGTTCATTGTTTGTCTCAATATCACTATCTGGGCAGCTGTCAATTCATGGCCTGGTGGAACTAAGAAAAGTATACAGATTACGGTTTTACTACGTATTTTTCTGCTAATAACAGCTTTGTTCAACAAAAAGTTAATATAATTTACGGAGTACTAACTTGACCTTATATGATATAGGCTACCTGTATACGAACTGTCACTTACGTCACAGTATGGAACTTACCGAGATCTATTTCGTTCTTTAGTGACTCTGTGTTTCTCATTAGATCCTCTAAAACTCTGTCTGCGTGTTCTTTAACGCCACTGAATTTTGATAACACTTTATCAATTTCTCTTTCAACCCCGCTAATGGATTCCATCTTGGTTGTTTTGTGTCTTTTCTGCACAATCAGCCAAAACAAAACAAAGACTCAGCTCGAACATGCGATCGATCTGTTCAGACCTTCATTCCAAAGTTTCTTGAGCCAAGTATTAGGTCTGCCACCTAGTAGGTAACTGTGTAAATCTTTATGTATTCTATGTGAAGTCTACTAGATGGCACCGAAGTTGCTATTTGGACTAAATCCAGTTGATTATGACCAACTGCTATGAAAACCTCAAATCCTACATCAGTTGGTTATCATGAGGATAATGTTTATAACGTAATACCCATTCGCTTCACAGTAATCGTACATTTGCGTTTTAATGCCGAGTATCACAGAAATGCACGGACGTTAATTTGCAGGCAGTGAACTTTGATTACGTGAGAATAGTCATGTGTTACAGAGAAATGGGAAGTCATATAATTTTTAAGACAATTTTACCATGTTAAACACTTCAAATATTGCAATGTCTCACTTATAGTCTCCCCACCACAATACTTCAGTCAGCAATATTGGAACATGGTTCGAATATAGGTCAGTAAGTTTGATTCGTAATACGCATGAATTAAAAACTAGTTTTTTCTCTATTGAAGCAACGATCGTTATTTATTCATGTGTATGATGTTTAATAGCAAATATAAAAATAAAGAAAAAAATTTCGCTGCGGACAGGATTCGAACCTGTGCGGGCAGAACCCATTGGATTTCAAGTCCAACTCCTTAACCACTCGGACACCGCAGCTTGTAGAAAATGGCTTCAAGTTATTTGTAATTGAATAAGTTAAACTTAATTGTAAAGTAAATGACAATTCATAGCTGGAATTAAACTTGGATAACAGGGCAGACAAATATAAGCGGGGTCTCACTTAACGTAGCGAAAATGAATTGGTGCTGCCGATTGTGGCGCTACAATTTCTATAGTCGCTCAGCTAATCAGATATTCCTTATCGTGCGTAGAACCTGAATGTTCATTATCGCGTTTACAAAATTTTGAGCCAGATGATTCCGGCCCACAAGCTCCCGCTAAATTTCATAAGATCTATTTTAATATTATCCCTCCATCTACGCCAGATCGTCTCGGGTGATCTCTTTCTACCAGGCTTACATGAAGACAACTAAAATAGTTTTATTTATGAGACAAATAGCGTCTGTCTGGTACTTGTAATACGGTTTTGTGTTCCCATTTTTGGGAGGGGGGGGAGAAGGGCAGCGACTGACCAGAAATTAAGTGCCGTGTTCCTCACCATTCATTCGATGACACCTCAAACATCGTAAATTAAAAACTGAAAATAGCAGTCGTAGTAACGATTAACAAAACTATTTATTTGTTAATCAGTTAGTTACTAGGTTTGATTACAGGGAATTTTAAATATTTACAGATTGGTAGCCCTGATGTCAAAACAAACGAAGGTCACTTGTCACAAGTTCGAATGCAGTGGCGAACAGAACGCATTATCTTCTCGCAGCTGTTTCAAAGTAGCATGGTGTCCGTACATGTTCCGTCTTTAACCTTCAGCAATGGCTACAAAATGCCAGTTATTGGTCTTGGCACTTGGAAGGTAAGTCAGACGTTGAGTCATACTTAAGCTCTTTCTGTGTGTTCGTTTGTCATCATAAGAGATAAGCTGTAATAATGACATGATGCAATATTCTTGAGTGTACTGATACAACCAAGACAGACAAATCCTTTGATTGTTTAGCGGAAGTGAATACAGTGTGACCAACCTTAATTTGAAGTATGGAGAGCAATTAATGGATTATTCATAAGGGATAATGAGTCTGTCATGGCCTTTCCTTTTGTAATGTTCAAATATCAGGATGCGCCTTTATGTTTCCATGAAATGTAAATATTTAACGAAATAAATCTGATTTCTACGGGAATAAAGAATTCCGGAGGTGTTATCGCCATTGCAATGGTAGAAATGTATCTGCAGACGCAAATGTGCGCTCCAGGATGCATTTTCCAGTCTTGTTTCGCGTTTCCAGTCCAAACCTGGTGACGTACAAAGAGCGGTAGTTGACGCCATCGACGCGGGATACAGACATTTAGATTGCGCCTACATGTACGGAAATGAATCAGAGGTGGGGGAGGGCGTGAAGCTGAAGGTTCAGGAAGGAGTCGTGCAGAGGGAGGACCTATTCATCACCAGCAAAGTAAGTGTCTCTCTGCTGTCCAGACAATTGTACTATATTTTATGCGTTTGAAACTTGTTTTGTCATCTCGAGGGTAGAACACAGATTTAAGGCATAGGAAGGGTCGATGGATAATATTAAAAATGTCATTACCATGTTCAGAACAAGGAGGGTGAGATGGTGAAAATGGGAGGTGCGTACATAATTATGGTCTATAAACTTTAATGAAAGCGACCACGTTTAAGATCAAAGCGTGGATGGGAGGATAATATTAAAATGGGACTTGAATATTGTGACAGGGTATGTACAGGGGACCGGTGGCGGGCTCTTTTGGACGCGGTAATGAACCCGTGAGTTATCTAGAACACAAAATTTATCCTGTTTGAGAAGAAACGTGTTTCCTCGTGCCATGTCTTGTATGGACACCTTAATCCTTGTCCACATTCATTATGTTGCGTAACTGTTTTAATTTCCACAGCCGGTTGTATCGCTGATTGAGTGATATGTCAGCAGATGTTGTCAGCTGTCAACAAGATTGTCGGGACGTCTGTGAACACGATAATGAAACTCAAGGTTCCATAAACGATCAGGAATTTCCTGACCAGCTGATTGACTAACAGCTTTTCATTCGTCACACACACACACACGTGGTACCCACGTGACAGGTTTATTTGGTATGTCCGAAGTCTCAAATATGCGTATCTAAATGGCGCTGATTAGAGTGGATTAGCGTATGTTTCTGATATCAGCAACAAACTCTTTTATGTTTGTCAAAGATTAAAACAAGAAGAAGTGGAAATTTTATTCCACTGAAGGGCACTTTTTTTAAGACTAACATTTGCCATTTTTCATGCTTTTGACCTTGAAGTTTATTTATTGCAAACAAATATATCAATTCTAACTAAACACGACTGATATAATAGATTTACAATATTTTTATTTTATTTCCTCAAATACCATATTTTCCGGAATATAATTCGAAACTATTTTCTGTCTCTAAAATATACGCTCACGTCTTGTTTAATGATTTGAAACCAGTTCAATATATTTTGTGAACATGGCAATGTATCTTATGATTCCATTAAAGACAGGAAATTTATCGACTAGATAAGCTACTATCATCTTCATCTTCTAAATAAGAATTACGCTTCGTGAAGTTACATGTTTCAGCTTTTCAAATTTCCACTGCGTTCCTCCCCTTTCATCCCAAAGTATGGTCACTGATCTTGTGGGTAGTTTGAAGATCTCAACACATCCTCTCCCCGTGAACTGCATTTTCGTTTAATCCCGTGTGATTATGATGGCCGCCAAAGGGTACTTTGACCTTAACATGGGATTCTAAATGACATGTGTGTCCAATACACTGTTTCATGCGATTTTACGAATTAAAAATGTTTATTCGTGTCTTCTACCCTATTAAAATATTATAGTGTGTCAATATTTTTTTTAAAAAAAAATTAATTTTCCTAGGAATTGAGGAAAGTAGCTGATCTTAGTGAATTTTTTTAATCTTTGTTTTCAGTTTCAAAGGTAGTTCTAGCGTTTGTGTTAAGAACGTTCAAGTGACAGTTAAAATTGGTTTAGCCCTGAGCAAGTCTTAGTTCCATGGAAAAACACGCGCAGTCCTGACGACACCCTGAATCTATTTACAGCTTTGGAACACATTTCACAGACCTGACCTTGTGGTTTCTGCCTGCAAAAAATCCCTGAGTCTCTTGGGCCTGGAATACGTGGACCTTTATCTCATGCACTGGCCATTTGCTTTCAAGGTAAAGAGGGATTCAGTATTCCGTGATGTTCAGAGGGTGTCTGTGGTATTGTGTTACACGCACTGATTCCTTCGCGTTGCAGGAAGACGGCGACCTGATACCCACTGACGCTGATGGTAACATCGTATTGAGCGATGTGGACTACCTGGCCACGTGGCGGGAGATGGAGACGTGTGTACATCTGGGTCTGACCCACAGCATCGGTCTGTCCAACTTTAACAGTCAGCAGATAGAAAGACTGCTGGTCAGCGCCGAGGTTAAACCCGCCAATCTCCAGGTCCAAAGGCGTAAATTTGATCAGTTACATGCCATCTTTGTTTTGAGGTCTTCCGATATCTAGCCGACCTCGTGCGTCCGGGGGGAATTAGCCCGTGAACGTCACCATTTTGTTTCAGATCGAATGTAACCCGTACCTGACGCAGAAAAAGCTGATCAATTTCTGTCAGTCGCGGGGCATCGAGGTCACCGCGTACAGTCCCATGGGTTCTCCCGACAGCCCCTACCTCAAGGCGGGAATGCCTCGACTCCTGGAAGACCCCGGCCTGCACCAGGTGGCGCATCGAGTTGGCAAATCCGTGGGCCAAGTCGTGCTTCGGTACCTGGTACGTGACTTAGTCACGTCACGTGAGGAGGCCCTGTTAGGGAGTGGAGGAAAAGCTTCTCGTAATTTTAGCTTTGGTACGAGAGGATTGGTGGATTTCACGCCTCGGCCGTCTTACTCTTGGTGGAAAAGAAACCGGTACCCATGGGGTAAGGGCCTCGGTGGACTCCAGGTCCAGTTTGGGCGCAGTGGCAAGGACAGATTAGTTTCCACGTCGCTACGTAGTAAATTACCAGTTTCCCTTGTGGTCGTGGCAATACAGAAGAGGTATTTTAGGTGACAAAACGGCTGGAGCTTGAAGCTTAACACTAACCGTCAGCAAGTTTGGAGGTTTTGAATTCGTGGAGCTTTACCTCCACTTTCTATATATCTTTTAGTACTTATGGTGCTTAGACACGGGGGGCAGCTTTACCAAATAGAATTTGCACCGCGGTAAAGTCTTTTAAAAAAAGAAATTGCCTAATTTGTGATGATTCTTCTGTTACGTGGCAGGTGCAACAGGGAATCTCAGCGGTCCCGAAATCCGTAACCAAGTCACGAATACAAGAAAACATAAATATTTTCGACTTCGAGCTCAGTGACGCTGATACGAGCTACATCGATTCTTTTAACCAGAATCTTCGGATTTGCCACAGGGATCAGTAAGTAACCTGCCTCGTCCGACAGCGTTTCGTAATTTAACAGCAAATTTAAATAGGAAGACACAATCTACACCGACTCCATTAAGAAAACGTGTTTTCTGATAAAGACCAATGTGGGTAATTCTGTTTGTTCATTAATTCAGTACAGATAAGCTACTCTTGATAAGTGGTGATAAATGATTAAACCAGCTTTACTTTGTATTTTGTTCCAGTGCCAGAGGCCACAAGTTCTATCCATTCAACGTTGAATTCTGATGGCAATAATTTCACGTTACGTCGCAGCGTAAGATATTTTTTATCATCTACTTTCACCTATTATTTCTCTCTCTTTTCTTTATCCCTTGTGGTTTATCCAGTCTCTAACTCAACATTTATCTTTACATCAACTTAGAGAATATCCTAGATCACGTCTTTCATAATTGAAAATTCTTCGCAAGTGTTGAAGAAAATTCATCAGTTGATTTTTACCAATGACAGTCATTTGAAGAAGAAGATGATGATGATGATGTTGACGACAAGTAACTGCTGTATATCTTGTGGATCAAAATAAATGCGTATATTTTTTTCATTGCTGTGAATGGAATTTATTCTTAAGTACACATAAAACTTTCGGTAGAAACTGAACGGATTTCGCGAAAATTTCCTTCTGCGTTGCTCCAAATTCTTCCGAGACCGAGATCGCACCTCATTTGTTTCCCCCCTCCTCTTCCCCCACTACACTTTGATTATTTACCCTCTCGCGCTTGCCAGTGGACACCATAAAATAATCATCTTTTAGATGCAAGCACGTTGCTAGGTGGATGCTGATTCAGAGGAGCGTGTACTTTGCTATATTAATCGCGTGAGATTGTACCAAGTATCAACAGAGTCTGATAAAACTCAAGGCCGACTGTAAAATGTGATGTAACACGTTACTGCATTATTTCGGTATTAAAAATTCTCGGTTACATGGGCTTGACGTGTGAATATCGTATCATAGCAACACAAATGCTGTGACCGTTTCGTAAGATGGAGGTTGTAAACACAGCCTGACGATTTGGTCGTCTGTGAATGAGAATTAAAGGATTACGTCACTAAACTTTTATTTTCAGAAGAAAAAGAAACTTTTAACTTGTATGCACAAACGTAATTAAGTCGTTATTTTATTCTGTCAATGAATGAAAAGTCACGCAGTTTTCAATTGACCTATTAATAAGCAGAATTTCTATCTTATCTTGTTTTGACTTCAGCATTTTTAGTGTTGTTATTCCACGACTCTAGAATCCAATATTGCTACATGTCAGCGAAGGTTCTGGAATTTTTCCAAGTTCAGACATATCTTGTCACGTCATCCTTGAAACACTGACGAGAAGTGTTAAGCGGTCGTTCAGGTAGTGCCAACAAAACATTCGGTAATGACGTGTGTACTTGGACGTATTTAGGGTTTAAGTAATACGTTAGTGTGGAATATCATGTCTGCGGTTAACTTTATCCCATTCTTCAGTCATTTATGTGCACAGGCTTCCCTCATGGAGCATTGAATTTAGTCTTAATTCACTTGAATTAAAGTTTTCTGTAAAATACGAAAGTAGACGGCCATGCAATGATGATCGCTATTTTACCGATCAAGCTCTTGCCGCATCTTACATCATCGTAATAGTTACAGTGATCGACATTTGGCAACAGAGTTATATCGATTGCTTGAGGCTCGCCGACTAGTTTCCACTCATCTGTTTAAGTGAAGTGGCCTTCAATTGGAAGTAAGAGCGAGTCGTTACTCAACCGGCTAGCTGATAAAAAATACAGTAATGTCAACAAGCGTCCCAGTGTAATTCAAAAAGGAAAGTAGCTTGTTGGTAGGAAGTGTTGTTAACGTTTGCGTTCTTCGTTTATTTGTTATAATGGTGTCGAAAATATTAAAAACTCCGACTGTCAAGTTCAACAACGGGATTGAATTTCCTATATTTGGCTTAGGAACATGGAAGGTCAGTCAATTTTTAGCGCGTAATATTAAACTTTGAAATACATTGTATGGCTATTACTTCAGAGCGTATATGATATTACAGGGTTTAATTTTAGTGACTGCGCGTTTGTATTCATAATTTTATTAAAGATTACTGTTGTGTTTGTCGTACCGCAAAACATTTTTCCCATTTTGATCGTGAACAAGTGTGTTTGTACTTCACCGGTGTCTTGTCCTCGAGTACCATGTTGAAAATTTTCTGAAATCTGCTTATGCCGAAAGAAATGTTTCGATGTCTTTTCTATCAATGCTCCACCAGAACGGCTTAAATCAAACATATTGACCTAAGCTATTCTCACCAAGCAGATATTTTTGTGGATGACCTTGGATTACGTAAGACGTGTCATCTAATTCAGCAAACTGTTTCATCTTCCACAAGAAGCTTTACTATAATCTGCAATAAATAATATTTGCTACTGACAAGCAAAATCTTAAGTCAAATGGAAGCTTATATTCTTAGTAAGAATGTGAGCTGAAGAAATGAATCAACATTAATCAGTAGATATGATTGTACCAATGTCTTGTCATTTTACTGATATTCCATCTTTCCTTAATGTTGAAATTAGTATTAAAGGTCAGGGATCTGTGGTGTTAGAGGTATTGGAATAGTTTTGTTAAATTATTGAATAGAAAAATAAGAATTGACCTGTTGAAGTTAATGAAGTTTTTGTGAAATTTAATAATTTTATTTTGCTGTCATACTCAGGAAATTAAGACTGTTAACCTTTCAAGCAAAAAGTTGTGTAATATTCATAAATGCTGTAAACTATCATAAAATTTGGCCCTGGTCACAGGTAATTGAGTTCATTTAATTTTTGCACGGTATTGCATCTCAATTTCAGTCCAAACCTGGCGAAGTTACCCAAGCAGTGAAGGATGCCATTGATATTGGATACCGACACATTGATTGTGCTCATGTGTATGGAAATGAACCTGAAGTTGGCGCTGCAATCAAGGCCAAGATTGATGAGAAAGTTGTGAAGCGTGAAGATCTTTTCATCACAAGTAAGGTAAGATATAGCTTTTGGTTCTTTTGACAGGTTTTAGTTTGACTTTATGTGCATGTCTGGTCTGTTATTCCCGGATATAGACATCAGAAATTGTGTGCTTAAATAAATTGAACCTCTGTCATGTCACATTTTCCGAATGGCCGAGAAAGGAAGGTGATTGTGTGCAAATCGGCTATAGTCTTACAGCGTTTTCTTTCGCATATCTCTCCAGCTGTGGAACACATTCCATCGAACGGACTTGGTTGCTCCAGCCATAAAGAAGACTCTGAGTGACCTGGGTTTGGATTTTTTGGACCTGTATTTGATTCACTGGCCAATGGCTTACCAGGTAATATGGAGAATAATTATTACAAATTGTCACATTTGTGAGGTAGCGCAATTAATATGGTGGTTCTTGAAGAAAATAAAAAAACTGGCATGCTATTTTTTCATAACCTGTGCGGTTAAGAACAAGCCATTTATTGAACTAAGAGATCAAACCTCTTTCTAACATGACCTTTTATTTTATTGTATGTAAAACATATCAGTTTTGTTAATTTAAAACGCATGTCGCTGACTGCAGGAAGGTGGGGACCTCTTCCCAGAAAAGGATGGCAAAACACTGTATAGTGACGCGGACTATGTCGACACGTGGAAGGCGATGGAAAAGCTGGTACAGCAGGGTCTCACCAAGTCAATTGGAGTGTCCAACTTTAATTCTGAACAGCTGGAAAGGATTCTGGCAGTCGCAAGCATCAAGCCTGTCACGAACCAGGTGTGTGTCCTGGGTTTCGAGATAAAACCCTCGCGAATGTCGTGGCACGTAAGACGTTCGTGTTCGTTGATTCCCGAACACTGCGACTTTCGTTTGAATAATTTTTGGGGTACATAAAATGGTCGCTGCGAAGCCAGGATGAAGGTAGAAAAGTTCCAAGTATTGTTTTTAATTTTATTTTTCTAGCGCACCGCATAAAATTAATTCATAATGTCGCCGATACAGTCTCTGCATCTGCGTATTTAACTCCATACCTAGAATTTGAACTCGGGGTACTGAGAGTGAAAGTACCGTACGTACCTTATCGTTTTATACGTTCCTTGGGAAGGCACCCCAGTAGTCGATGGATAGGAGGCTGCGTGGGCCCCAGAGCCAGTCTGGATGCAGAGGCTACAAGAAAAATTGTCTGCTCCGTCGGGGATCGAATCCCGGTCTTCCAGTCCGTAGGGACTGTACCGAGAGATCTAACAATACCGAAGCAAATGACGTTTTTCTGATGCCAATGTTTTGCAGATAGAGAGTCATCCGTATCTGAACCAGAAGAAGTTGATAGAATTTTGCAAATCAAAAGATGTGACAATCACTGCGTACAGCCCGCTGGGATCTCCAGACCGACCGTGGGCCAAGCCTGACGATCCGCAGCTTTTGGATGATCCGAAGGTGAAAGAAGTGGCCGAGAGGTATAAAAAGACTCCAGCTCAGATCCTTATAAGGTACCAGGTGAGTGGACGAAGGACGCCTCATTACAGCCTTTGTGAATAGTTTCTTTTCGTCAGAATCTCTCTTTAAGATATCTTCTACGTAGCAAACTTATAGGCAATAACGTAACACGATTAAGTCATCCGGTGGTTTTTACATACGTTTTCAGGTGCAGCGAGGTAACATCACAATCCCGAAGTCTGTGACAAAATCGCGTATCGAGGAGAACGCTCAGATATTTGACTTTGAGTTGTCAGAAGAGGATATCGCCGTCATCGATTCCTTCGACTGCAATGGGCGCGTCTGTCACCTGACTCAGTAAGTAATCCTTTTTTTACTTTAGATATCAAAAATTATAAATCGTAAAGTTTTTCACAGGACAGGATTGTGAATTATGTGATGAAATGTACGTCCTTTTTATTTCAGCGTTAAAGACCACAAGCATTACCCGTTCAACATCGAGTTTTAGAGAACTGGAGAATTTTGCGTTGCCGAGGTGAAGTTACTTCCATTTCTTGGCGTGAGCGGTCTAACAAGAAAAGATACCTCTGTGAAGAATACTGCAGTCTGTATAAGCATCAGGAGTATGCGACTCGTCGGCACCGGGTCGTCGTCGGCGACTACTACGCCGACGTCCTCTTGATGAAAAAATTGTTTTGTTATGACACGGATAATAAAATATTAAAATTTCATATTTCCAGTCTTTCCTTCATTAATTGAATATCTTGTTTTGTTAATAATTTGTCCTGTCATTAAACATTTTTCTTTTTATTAATGATACTAATTGCATTGTTCCACGATGTTAAAAAGTGAAATGCTCTGTGTGTAATGTTTATGGGTGTTATGTGCTTTGACACATGGAAAATTGTGAAATAAAGTGACTTCATCAAAAAAAAGTATTCAGCATTTATTTCTACTTTATTTTTACAGACGAGGACATACAAATTGACGTGCCACGCAGTTGTAACTTTGACAAAATGGCAGCAGATTATAGATATACTGCTTGTACTCGGACCATTTCACGAAACATTCCATGTTATAACCTGCGTTGCGAAATAACTTGACCAGTCCCTCCTCGTTGGTTTGTGTGTGTACGTTTTGGGCATAAGGCACTATGAAGAGCGAAGAAAATATTTTTAATGGGCATTAGTAATGTAATGCTCGGTAACATGATACAGTATCACAGAATACATCCAAATCTTCATGTGAATAAATTTTCACTTTCAGTGGCAGATGGAAGAAAGCTGCCTCTTCTTATAATTTATACCGACTAGAACGACAAAGACTTTTCCTTCAACACGAAGTTCACGTCTAGTCTTTTACATCACAGCTAACTATAAGTCGGGGTGTCATCGCTCAGTATTGCCGAGCGCAAAGTACTTGACGGTGGCTAGTATAAAGATGGGTTTCTTCTGGATTGTTTTGGCTGCATCATGTGGTAAAAATTTACTTTCGTTCCGGAGGCGTTGCTGCCTCCGTGTTCGGGGTGATTGCCCTGATGGAGGCGGCGAGCACCTCTTAAATGCCAATAAATTTTTACCAGAGTACACGGTGCAACAACCCAAAAGACAACCAGCCATCTTTATTTTAATGAAATGGAGTTATGGTAACTTTATTCACCTGCGTGTGATAGTTCGTCTTGTTCGAGGATGGTATTTGCGCTCTGTATGCGATTTATATGTTTTTTTTTTATTCTTTCTTACTGCAGAGATGGGACAGATGTGCTGCTTGGAACAACGGTATGAACTTTATTTCCTGCCGTCTCTACAGATTTTGATCTCGTCGCAAAATTACAGTTTTTACTGTTTTCTGCACTTTTATGGCTTTGCAGCAATATTGACATTTTAGAATCTGGAACATCTACTGCATCGAATGTTAGTGTACAGTCTTGGGTTACTGCCGTCTGGTGATTTGTAATGGGGCTGGAGTCCGAGTGAACTTCTGCAGATTTAACTGTGCCACGTTTGGGCGATTCCTTACTCTCGGACCTAATTATCTCATCTGGAGTGGAGCTCAAATTAAAGCGAGGTTCTGTGTCTGTAGACTGTAACCTACAGATCTTTGTAGTCGAGTTTTCTTCTGTACTGACTAGATTAGATATATAATCTACAACAGACATTACTTGACGAAACTTATCAGTAGAAAGAGAATTGGTTTCTGCAACTTTGCTATGTATGGGCTCCTTTGTGTGAACCATTCTTGGTTCTAGAGACTTTGATTTCTGGACTAGAAAATCCTGTCTTTGACTCGTCGTGCGGGTAGAAAACGGAGGGACGGAGGAGGATGACACCTGCCGGCTCCGAGCTTCTGGTAACCGTGACTGATGTTGACCACTTGAGTCCTTCAAGCCTTTCTTGCGATGATGGTGTAGGGGATCCAGCACCCCTATGATTGGCTGTACACCAAACAGATGGTTGTATGTTGACTCACGGTTCATCAGTTCAAGCTGGCAGAATCTCTTCTCTTCCGTGAGACATGTTACTTCACGATCACGTTCTTCTAACGCCTGCTTCAAATGAGCGATTATGTCAAGGTCTTCTTTTCGGGATTCTCTGTTCTTGTATTTCTGCTCAGATTCTTGAATGCTGAGACAAAGAATGTGTAATTTTAGCTTCTGTGTAGGGGGGGGGTGAAACTGAGAGTCGGTTTGTACTGCTGCCCCAGATGTCTGCATAATTTACGCTAGAACTTGATGATATTTCGCAACCTAAACTGCATTTGCATGTTTTGTGTTTTATTGACATAGGTAATACGCTTGCCAAACTTGTTCCTTTTGATATACTACCCTTAACACACTGAATGTAAGTTGTAAAATACCTCATTACTCAGTTTATTAGTACTTCGTTAAAGGTTGGTATTTGTTCTACGGCTACAGATTTACAGTTTAAATCTATTACAGGCTCTCAAAATCCATCAGTATTAATTAACTTGAGATGCATGGATGAGTTTATTTATGGAACGCTGGTGTATATAACTTTTTTGTTATTTTTACCGTATAACAGAATATAATAAATCAATACTTTTTAAATTTTTGCATACCATAATCTATGATATGAGTACTCACAGTTTTGCTAGATAGTTAAGCTTTTGCTGATTTTCTTCCTTCAAGTTTTTCATCTGCTCCTGCCACTGTTTCGATTCCGCAGCAAATTGCTCTTTCAACTCGGACAGTTTCTTCCGTTGCTCTGCCTCAAGTTGTGCTTCGCGCTCTCTGTGTGGGTGGGATGACAGATGAGCGATTAGGTGGGGTGGTGTAGAACAGAGAAGTCAGTAGAGAGGGTTAGGAAGTGTGCACAGCAAGAAAACTGATGTGTTTTAGTGTCTGCATTTTAAGAGTAACCCTTACTCTACAGTCATAAGAAAAGAGATTCGTTTTAGTAGAATTTTCAAGTGTTAAACATGTAACTTAACTGAAAATCTAAAAATATTCTCCATGTTGAGTACCAAGATACCAAATTTTCCCAGTTTTTAATTTGCATTTTGTCAGTTTTACAGAATTTATTGATAAGTTTGTATATAATAATACGTTGAGACAATAATTTAACGTCATCAATTTCGCTCTGAGTACGTGCGTAAAGGTAAAGGATAAATTTCATTCACATATCTCAACAGCAGTTGCTATCCCGTCCCAGAAGATAACAAACTAATTTCAGTAGATAATATTTTAAGTGATAGCTGAACAGAAGTCAACACGTGCAAATACTGTACGCAGTTTTCTTTCAAGGAAACAAGTGTGCATTATATTTGGGGAAATAAGGTACGATATACCCTATTACTGCAGGCGGTTTAGTAAATATTGCATGCGTGAGCTGTTGGGTTAGCAGACTATCACAAGGAATTTTATGGAATGTTTTCTGCAATATAGTCAGTTCTTCAAAGGATAAGAATACAAGCAAATAGCATAGCATATCACAAACAGGCACATTCTACGTAGAAAATACAAAGAAATCACACATAATATGAACAATTTATTTAATTAGAGATTAGAAATTTCAAATGTTTTTGGTATACTTTAGTATTTGTTAAAGTATACATTAGTATCTTTCATTTTAAAGTGGCAGTCCGTATCATGCAGTTTGTACGAAGATCCAATTAAAATTTACTAATGTGTCTTAAATTCCAAATATCATCAAAAGTTCTTTTATGCAGACACGTCACAAATAATTCCTATTCAATATGCATGAGGTACCTTGTTTAGAAGTGCTGAGGCTTCAGCTACTGATTAAAAGAAACTTGTTCCGTCATCTCTAAATGGTTAAAACAAACCATTTATGTTTTTACAGTAATACGTATTACATCTTACCATGAAATTTTTTACTGAATTTTCTCTAAATAAACATCAGCACTTAAAACATAATGCACGAGGTCTGAGGTTCTCATGGCAATGAATATGTCAGTGATGGTCTTCTGAGTTGTAATGCCACGTGAACTTGTATGTAGATACGAAAATTTCAGGGGAAAATACTGCCTCCATCTTCAGGCTCGAGATAGTGGCAATATGTTTCTTCAAAATGTTGAGTTTCCACCTGCAAGTCCATACAGCATTACAAGCTGTCAACACTGATAGGATAATTCATGTTTACCAAACAGCTCCAATAATCTTCCCAGAAATAGTGATAAGCACTAAGTTGTACTTGGGACTTGATCGCCAAAGTCATGCATGAAGGGTTAGGGTAAGATAAAAGTTATGACTCGTTCAGTTCAAATACACAATAATGTAGAAAATTAAAGTTTAGCATCAAATATGGATTTCTTGTTTTTCTCAGATAACGCTCTTTGGATTGTCTTCGTTTGGCATCTATCGATACAGAAATAGAAATATAACAGTAGTTTAGAATCATGCAAGACGTTGCAATGTAAGCCTAGAAAATAAGAATGTGGTAACTATCATCAAATATTTGTTCTCTTCTCCTCAAAAATATTTTCTGTATATGTCTGATTCACTCTGTTGAGATAACTTGCTTCATCTGGTCCAAGGACCGCTGACGCTCCTCAACTATGCATTTGGAATAGATTATGTAACAATAGGATAGCTGTAATTAAATTTTAAATATTCCTACTTATATTTTCCAGATGTGTTCATTGTGATTTTGCGAACGCCATTGGCTCTTGCAAATCCAATAGTACAGACAGAAATTTAAGGTTCTCAAGCAAACCATGTGACATAAAACATTTCGTAAGAGTAATAAATTATTTAAAATTATACAGATCATATAAAAATTAAACAATACTATAATACATGACAGACAACGCAGTGGATACACTTTATTGTTTAACGTTCATGTTGAATATAGCAATATGCGTATATGTATTTATATTTATATCACAGTCATTCAGCAAAGTTTAAGTTACATCAGCCTGTGAATTGTAACAAGTCAATCTGCAATCCTCAAATGCTATTGTAACCTATCATAGAAAATAATAAGCGCAAATACAAGAACCTTCAGTCACAATGATAATAATTAATTTGTATACAAATATGTATACTGTTATCTACAGTTATTTAAAGTAGATTCATCGCTTGAAGTATATCATAAAAATGTACAAAAAGTAGAAATGTACAAAAAGATACATATTTTACACTTAGAAATACAGATTAAAAGAAATAATTTCCAAAAAAAAAAATAATATAAGATTGAAATCAGCCTGCATATAGACGCTGTATACATTATAACATGCATAGACGCTCACATTTAAAGCAATAAAATAAGTCGGTTTGTCAACACACAGGCATAGGCAAGCAACAGACGCCCCTGGGTTAAGGGGACAGTGGTATGAGACTGAAGTGACACTTTTGCAACCAGACAATCTGTCAGGATCACATCAACAAACACGGGAAATATTTCTGCGACAAACTAAATCTCTACAAGAGTTATTACTCAAGTGAGAATTAAAGTATTTCATACTGTTAATAGGTTTGGTCTGAGACCAACCCCTAGCGAACAGAAACTTTTGTGTGTCGACTCTGGAGGGCGAGCGAGAGCGTCAGAACCTGCGGTAAAGGATGATGGCAGTCACGATCAGAATGGAGGACAGAGTAAGTGAGAAGGATCCAGTGAAGAGCCAAGAGATTAAAGAAATTAGGAACACTGTAAGAGCAGTGGGTATGGTGCTGACAGTGCTGCCATCTTCATTGGTGGCAGTAGCAGCTCCAGGGCTACTTCCATTGCTGTATAGAACCAGTAGAACAAGCCAAAATTAACACTTTCATTTTTTGGTAGCAAGAAACATGAAATTTGCTTTCCACTGCATTCACAAGCACTTATAGTTTATCATCATCATAAATTTGCTTCTGCAAAACAGTTACGTACTTTTTCTTATATGGAGGACTGTGCTTTCTTCTCCCTCACATTTCTTATAAAAGTGTCAATAAAAATAAACTCCTTTGCTGTGATAATCAGTCAGTTAGTCAGGCCTGGTGCATATGTAAGGGGATGAGAGAGCAGTGATAGAATGATGGCAGAGGAATCCATAAATCTTGGCAAAAAACCTTCCCCACTGTCATGTGACCACCACAAATTCTCTATGTTCACATGTGATTGAAACCTGGTCTCTTTTGTGAGAGGTAAGTGTCTACTTGCCTGCTGTGGCGCAAAATTTAGCAGTGCTGTGACTGAATATTAATAACTTTCTGAAGTTACCCCAAGTACAATGTATATTATACCAGAATGTACATATCACTGTGAAATCTGTTTTGGCAGGTGCTCAACTAAGCACCATGTCATGCAGATACATGAATGAGTGGTGGTATATCTCCACGCATTCTTAATAGACCTTAAACATTGCGGAAATTTTGTTTCTTAATTACGTCTTAACAAAACTTGTAATTGTAATTTTCTGGCAGCATAAATGGAACTGAAGCAAACTTTTAAGTGTACACAGATGCTAACTATTAGCCGGGAAACAGTCCTTTTTATATTTTAACAAGGTGTCAAACTAATTTCACTGTCATCGCTCTGTGTTACAAAAGTGACATTCTGATTGCTGCAGTATCCAACACAAAACTTGACAACCAAACATAAATACATTTTTATTTGCACTTTTTCACACAAAATAATGTCAGACAATTTTCACAACATGCAATGAACAAATAATTTTTCATGCAGTTTTGATTTAGAGCTAATTTAAGTTAATATCATGAGTGGAACATGTGTTAAAAGGACTCTTTCATAAGGAACCACTCAGACTTTCATATGACGCCACTAAATTAAGCACTATAGTGAGGTTATGTGTGTGGTCAGCTTCAAGCTTTGTCCACTTTACCCCAAGAGAAATAATCCCTAGTACCCCATCAGACTGGGAGCTGAGTGGGCCCCAGAGTTGTTCTGAACTTGATATTAAAGATAAGAATCCCTGTCAGGGCTGAAGGTAGAGACAATATGTTCCTCCAAAATGTTGGTATCTGCCTACAAGTCCACATGGTGTTGCTACCCACAAGACCACCAACAAGTATTATGTATACTTTGATGGAACAGTGAATTTTTGGAAAATAGTACAGAATGTACATTGAAAAGCAGAGGAATCACAGAGACACACAAACAGTATTTTTGTGCGTACTTGAGATGCTTCAATCTCTTTGCTCTGAGATGGTATGTAACATGTGGATCAATCGTCATTGCTGAGCTCTCACCTAAGTTTGTGGGCTGCCTGGGCCTGTATGCGCTGCATTTCCACATTCTGGGTGCTTATCTCTTGGTTCAGGACTTGCATTCCTCCCTGCAGTAGGTCAACATTCCCCTGCAGGTCAGTGACCACTGCTGTCTGACCCTGCAGCTCTTTCTTGAGATTCGCAATCACGTCCAGCAGCTGCTACCAAAACATGACACATCATTCTTACACTTCTGCCTCAGTTCTCGTAACTCAGTTGGAAATCCCAGGTGGTAATAATAACTACTTTGCTGGCTGACATTATATGTGGGACTGAATTAATTTCTCAGTCAGTTGATGATTATGTCCTTGGCCTACCCTTTAACTTGCGGTCACTTACCTCAATTTCCCTGGAGTTGTTATTCTTGCTTGCCTTCTCTAGTTCTATTTTGATGAGCTCCACCTGGGTCTGGTGTTTCGCTTCTTGTTCTGCCACAGCCTTCTCCTTTTCGTTCACTAACCTCTCCCACTGGATGTCTGTGTAACAGACAGGTCCTTCATGGTCACATCTCAGATTACTAATGTACAGTTAACACATATTGAGAAAATATTTTTTTATCAAAATTCATGATTCATAACACTTACAGTAAAATATAACTGCAGCCATTACAACTCTTACTTCACACATTGACAGACACTGAATATTGGTTGTATGTCTGCTGAACAAGGGATGGCTCCTACAGTTAAGCATCTTGAAAGTTGACTAAAAACTCGGAGAGTTTAAAAATTAAGAATATCATGTTGTCCATCTCCACGGAACAAGAAGTTGTATAACCTTTACAAGGCAATACACTTATTTAATCTACAACCTGCTAGTCAATTCCACCAAGTTCATACCAAAAGATACTTCTCAGAAGAACCAACATAACAAATCCACATCAGAATACACATAACATAACCTCTAAATAGTACTATGATGCAAGAATATATTAATAAAAGAAGTTTTAAAAAAATAACAACATCTAGTGCAGTATCGCTTGAAATACTTTAGTTAAATACCCTATTCATTATTTATTTTCTAAATCCAGTTTAAACCATTTGATTAAATGAATTAATTTCCGTGATGCCACTGAAGATGACCTTTTGAGGTTGAAACGTGTATGGCAACAGTGTCTTTTTTATAGTGTTAATAGTTGTTTGTTTGCTTATTTTATATTCTAATAAAAGAAGCTTAAAACTTATTTTACTAATAGTAATAGTGCAGTCAGTGTAACAAGTTAGGGACGACAATATGAACCAATGAGTTTGAAACATGTCACCCAGCAGTGGAAAAATAAATAAACGTATGAGCTTGTAAAATCTGTATAACTTGTGCGAAGATGGACAACGTAATGTTTTATTGTTATTAAAACCACAACATGATGCTCATATATAATATTAAAAAAAAACACTTTTGCAATTAAATTATTTAATGACATGTAACCATACAAAATACTGACAATCTGTTTTGACGGTTCAGTGTAAACTTGTGGGATAGTTAGACTCCATGCCCCTGCTAACAACTGTATCTTCTTCATGCCACTAAAGAATTTAGGATTATAAAAATTAGAGTTTTCAATGTGTCTTCTATCCTAATTACTTACATTACAAAGAGAATGCTATTATACAGTCCATCACAGCATCACAAAGTTAACTCTCCAACATATATCACTAGGAAACAGGCAACTTTCTGAGTGCTAAGTCAACTTAACGTCCCGCGCCGTAGTCGCATGGTCTGAGGCATCACGCTTCGGACCGCTGATACGGAATGCACGCTGGTTCGAGTCTCGGGGAAAGAAATTTCTCATGAGATTTTCAACCAGTGTATGGGACCGGTGCCAACTCAGCATCGTGAGGAAATTGGGGAGCTACAATGAGTAGCGTAATCCGGTCAGGAAAGCTAGCAATGGCTGGGGGTTCGTCGTGCTGACCACACGTCACCCTACATCTGGTTGGATGATCGTTCACCTCTGCTTAGGCATGTGAACGTGAGGCCAGCAGTCAAGCTAGTCGGCTTTGGCTCTCTGGAGCTGTTATGCCGCGATTTAATTTTTAAGTCAACTTAACAGATGTCACTAGGAAACAGAAATAAATGCCAACTATTTGTGTGCTAAGTTCACTCATCAGCAGATGTCACCAGGAGACATGAATAAATACAAACACCTTTTTGAGTGCTAAGATTAAAAATTAAAAATTTACTAGGCAAGTATAAATATGTGGTTAAATAACCTAGAATCCTCATAAATACAGGTATGATACATTACCACTGAACTGATTAACTTTTAAGGTGATGTTAGGTCTGAATGTTACATTGCCAAGTGTTGTTTACCTTCTTATCATATTAATGCATTACCATAATTCTAGCACACATGCACGCGCACACACACGCAAACAGACACACATTTATGACACCTGCTGTGGATGTCCCCCAGTGCAGCAGGCTGGGGATCACGCAACACTCTAAAGAACTGTACTTGTGTGCACCTAGCTGTTTATGATGCTTCTCCTCTGCAGCATCCAAGCGATCTTGAGCGTCTCGCTCCATCTGCTCCTTGACCAGTTCCAATGTTGCTCTTGTGGAACTCATCTGCAATTGCCAGTTCTGTTCCAGCTGCTGTATTTTCCTGTCAGATTCCCAGTTCAGTTGTTCTGAGATAAGAAAACAGGCGCACAGGTCACTATTATTGGCCAACACTTGACTTTTGTGTCTAATTTCTTAACTAACTCTATGGTGCAGGGTCTAACTTCCATTTCGTCTTAAAAAATTATTCTTATTTATTGTTAAGTGACTTGGCAGAAATTTTACTCGTGTAAAGCATGTCAAATATAGGTCTAGAAATGGCTTTAAAATGTTAAGCTTCCTTATTCTATAGATGGCTGTCTTCTTGGTTATAGTGCTGTGTAGTCTGGTAGAAGTTTACAATTGTTTCAGAGGTCCTTTCTGCCTCCATCGTCAGGACGATGAGTCAAATCCTTATTTTATGGAGCCTCAAATAAGGATCATTGCTGTGATGTTTTGCTGGCTGATCAGGTGTATTTGCACACCTTGTGATATATATACAGCAACTAATTGGCATAGAAATACAAAAATGTGGAGAGAATCCTGAATGACCAAGACTTAATCCATCACAAATCCTAAATGGACTTGCCCTGTAATTGATTACATGCCTCTGTGGGAAGCCAGCATCTAACCACCTGAACTATGGCATCATCACTTAAAATGCTGTTAACTACACAACACGCCCAGAAAAAGAGGTGGCTGTGCGTTAATGCTAACTACTAAACCACAATGGTTTTTGGTCCAGTACGGAGCGGTATTATATCTAGTAGTAAAGTACTGATGTACCGGGTGTCGGTTGGGAAGCCTGAGGGGAGGAGACCGCTGGAGAGACCTAGACGTAGATGGGAGGATAATCTCAGGCGGGATCTATGGGAGATAGGAGTTGGAGGAGACTGGATTTTGTTGGCCCAGGACAGGGTCCGGTGGAGGGCTTTAGTTAATTCGGTGATGAACCTTTGTGTTCGCTAAGCCATCTGGTTGGTTGGGTCCACTATTTGGGAAGCCTGAGGGGAAGAGACCTCTGGAGAGACCTAGACGTAGATGGGAGGATAATCTCAGGCGGGATCTATGGGAGATAGGAGTTGGAGGAGACTGGATTTTGTTGGCCCAGGACAGGGTCCGGTGGAGGGCTTTAGTTAATTCGGTGATGAACCTTTGTGTTCGCTAAGCCATCTGGTTGGTTGGGTCCACTATTTGGGAAGCCTGAGGGGAAGAGACCTCTGGAGAGACCTAGACGTAGATGGGAGGATAATCTCAGGCGGGATCTATGGGAGATAGGAGTTGGAGGAGACTGGATTTTGTTGGCCCAGGACAGGGTCCGGTGGAGGGCTTTAGTTAATTCGGTGATGAACCTTTGTGTTCGCTAAGCCATCTGGTTGGTTGGGTCCACTATTTGGGAAGCCTGAGGGGAAGAGACCTCTGGAGAGACCTAGACGTAGATGGGAGGATAATCTCAGGCGGGATCTATGGGAGATAGGAGTTGGAGGAGACTGGATTTTGTTGGCCCAGGACAGGGTCCGGTGGAGGGCTTTAGTTAATTCGGTGATGAACCTTTGTGTTCGCTAAGCCATCTGGTTGGTTGGGTCCACTATTTGGGAAGCCTGAGGGGAAGAGACCTCTGGAGAGACCTAGACGTAGATGGGAGGATAATCTCAGGCGGGATCTATGGGAGATAGGAGTTGGAGGAGACTGGATTTTGTTGGCCCAGGACAGGGTCCGGTGGAGGGCTTTAGTTAATTCGGTGATGAACCTTTGTGTTCGCTAAGCCATCTGGTTGGTTGGGTCCACTATTTGGGAAGCCTGAGGGGAAGAGACCTCTGGAGAGACCTAGACGTAGATGGGAGGATAATCTCAGGCGGGATCTATGGGAGATAGGAGTTGGAGGAGACTGGATTTTGTTGGCCCAGGACAGGGTCCGGTGGAGGGCTTTAGTTAATTCGGTGATGAACCTTTGTGTTCGCTAAGCCATCTGGTTGGTTGGGTCCACTATTTGGGAAGCCTGAGGGGAAGAGACCTCTGGAGAGACCTAGACGTAGATGGGAGGATAATCTCAGGCGGGATCTATGGGAGATAGGAGTTGGAGGAGACTGGATTTTGTTGGCCCAGGACAGGGTCCGGTGGAGGGCTTTAGTTAATTCGGTGATGAACCTTTGTGTTCGCTAAGCCATCTGGTTGGTTGGGTCCACTATTTGGGAAGCCTGAGGGGAAGAGACCTCTGGAGAGACCTAGACGTAGATGGGAGGATAATCTCAGGCGGGATCTATGGGAGATAGGAGTTGGAGGAGACTGGATTTTGTTGGCCCAGGACAGGGTCCGGTGGAGGGCTTTAGTTAATTCGGTGATGAACCTTTGTGTTCGCTAAGCCATCTGGTTGGTTGGGTCCACTATTTGGGAAGCCTGAGGGGAAGAGACCTCTGGAGAGACCTAGACGTAGATGGGAGGATAATCTCAGGCGGGATCTATGGGAGATAGGAGTTGGAGGAGACTGGATTTTGTTGGCCCAGGACAGAGCTTTGGTTAATTCGGTGATGAACCTTCGGGTTCGGTAAGCCATCTGGTTAGTTAGTAAAGTACTGATGTAGGCACTGCAATCTTTGTGTTTCTCACCTATTTCTTTTTCATATTTATCAGTCAGTTTCTCCATCTGCTCTTGGTATGACAGATCGATCTTATCGAGCTTCCGGCGGAGATTGAAGATGTCTTGATCTGCATTTGTCTGTGCTTTCTCTAGTTCTCCATGATAGTACGTATCTTTTTCTGTTAAGCGATCCTTCAGTGTAGATATCTATGGGAACAAAACGTGTGTACATCAAACAAGACAGATCACTGCGCAACATGGTTCTGATGTAGCTGAAATTAATAACTTGTCTTCAGTTTTATACGTTCTCATACATGTATTAGTAAGAATATGGATCTGTGAACATACTTTTAAAATTTTCACCGAAATTTTTAGAAGCTTAACATGGAAAAATGTTGCACAGATCACGTATGGATTACATTACAAAAGTGTGCTGAGTTTAAGGATGCACGAAGCTTTACATCCATGCCTCCCGTAATGTCTTTGTGACATATTGGTTAGGCACAAATCAATAAGGTTTTGGAGCAAGTTTGGTACAATTAATGACAGCCATTTCCTCAACAAACCTTTGAATATCAAACATAAAATATTCTCTTCATAGGAAGTGAACAATCACAATCAATCCAGTATAAAATGCCTTTGGACTAATTTCATAATTTATACTTAGGTTTTTATATTTTCTTTATTTTATGTAAAAAATTGTCAGCGTGAAGTTCCGTTGCAGTGCGACCAGAAGAAAATTCCTATCCGACAGTTTAATTTTAGTCTTGGATTAAATTCAGAAGTCTTTATATTACGTGTAATCATGATTTATAAAACAATATGAATAATTTCTAAATTTATAGTTTTAAAGTTAACGAAGAAGTGTTGATACTGACACGGGCTTATATAGAATTAGTAATCACATAGTTAAATATAAGACATTTTTTAAAGGTCGTAACTGTTAATATATGCTGCTTCTTATCAAAGTGATGCATTTCTTTCAAGCAAGTCTGTTTATTTTGATTTTCAAAGGGGAACGAAATGCTATACCCTACCTCCTTAAGACATTGTTGCATTCTTAGGTCCCAATTCAGCTTAGCCATATTCATTTCTTTCTCTTTTTGAACTTGAACAGACTCAATGGCCAGACGCTTCTCTTCGCTGTGGAGTTGATCGAGTTCTGATCTGAGTCTTGAGCATTCTCGTCTCAGTCTGTCCTCCCACTGCAATACAATCAGCGAGAAACTTTTTTGCCGTACAACAAGATTACATGTAGTAATTCATTATTATAGACAATTTTTCCTACTTTCCTCAGCCTAACACTAATTAATTAAAAACAATAAATGCTTTTCCTATATCGATATAACGTATGTTTTATAAAATGGTTCATCCTTCAAAGTAGTTTTTTCTCTCAATTAGCTTTTATGAATTTTGAGTATAAGTCTGACTTAGACTTTTTTCACTTCCAGTTCATTTCTGTTATATATTTCTTATGTGAACTTTCAATTCCTATAATTCTGTTCAAGACTGTAGGGGGAAACGCAGAGTTAAGTATACTTAAAACTGACATCTGCCTCATAATTACAGTACTTCAGAAATCAGAACTGCGTAAACCATGTATAAGTCTCAGCCACATTTTTAAGCTTTACATTTTAATAAAATATGGCATGTTGGTAATTATAACTGTCACTTCTCTGCTAAAATAAAACAATAACCAAATTTAAGTTACCTGAGCAGTGATGTCACTTTTCTGTTGATCAAGGCGGACTTCAAACTTCTTCTCATTATCAGCCATTTTTTTCTCGTGTAAGCTCTGTACACAGAAGACTAATATTAGAAATATACACACATTTGTTTAAGCAAAGTGTATTAAGTTTAAAATTCCAAGAGAGATATTTGTGTAAAAATATTTTAATATTTACTCTTTAGTGAAAAAGGTACAATGGAAGCTACTTTCATGAAATTCATAAGGCTGCTCCAGATAATTGATCCAAACAGAATTTTTAAAACAAAAATTACTATATTTACCCAACATAATTTGTTATTATGTGATTTGTCCTAAATTATATTAAAATATTTGAATTTATTTTCTTTGATATTTTATTTCAACCTTCACCATATTGGATGATGGATTGCAGTTATTATATTTCAACCTAACCTAACCTAACCTAACCTAACCTGCATGCATATTCCGTGGCTCTTCTCCTTGTCGAGCAGCCCTCGAAGTCGGGTAATCTCCTCCTTCAGCATTCGCTCACTGACCTGAAGCTGCTCTGTTTGCCGTGTGGTAACCCGCAGTGACCTCTGTTGCTCAATGGTTAGACCACGCAACTGTATCACCTCTGCCTCATAAGTCTTCAGTTGTGGTAACTTCGTAAAAAAAATACAAATCCTGACTAATGATTTTGCCATTTTATTTTGAGTGGGTGTAACATGGTCTGTTACTTCGAGGGAACTAGTAATCCACTTTATTAGCCAAACCACTATAGTTATATAAAATTATAGTTTGCGCTGTATACGGTGACCAAATTTTGAAAAATTAAAAAATAATTTTACACATTAGTCATACAAAATTTATCAGACGGTTTCTAAGAAAACTACCGATGTAATAAATTTACAAGATTTCCACAACTGACAGTTGTATCATCATTATATTTGCGAGTTAACTTTGTAATTGAAAATATATTCATCTGAGGATGACTTGCTCTGTATCAAAAAGTGTAGGCAACAGCTTTTAAGCAAAAATTACGTGCATTGACAGATGTGCAGTATTACAAGCATTATCCTATAAATAAACAGAGGTTGGTACCTCCTTAAGCTGTTGTTCTGCCAATTTCAACTTCAGCTCCACAGTGCCTGGAACAAAGTCCTTCAAATAGTAATCTACAAATAATACTCTGACATGCCTCTGCAGACACAAATTTGGCAAACTAATATTCCAATAGAGTACGTATTTTCCAAATTCATACTTTGGTAATTGGCCTCGATGTTGATTCACATCAGAAGAAAAATCTATTACTGCAGAGGTAATCAAAGACAGAAACAGAATCACCTTAATGACAAATTATTTAATAAACAGAAAATGTTGGTAGCTTCGCTGCTTGGCAATCATCTGCTTTTAAGGCATTTTGTGCCTTACGAGATAATTTTTATGACTGTGTATGTTTACTACATATTTTTCCATCATTCTTTGTGGACAATCGGTGATTTGGATAAAATCTGTAGATCTTAATAATGAGATCTATTTATTCATGTCGTACAAAAGTGTACAGCGAGTTGGTTTTATTGATCTTAAAGTATAGGACTCAAGTTTTCTTGACAGATTTTCGTGAATTGAGAACATTTAGAGATTAAACATGGAGACAAATTGACATAATAATTATGAAAAAAATGTTTAATCCAAATTGAGACACAGCTTTTCATTCTTATCATGGTCTTTTTTTCTTTTGATTGAATTTTACATTTAGCAGATGTTTATGTATAAGCATAAGAGTTTGAATGAGCATAACCAATCGGTGAAATCAGTCAGTTAATCGATGGACCACTGAGCTACCCAGTTTGGTCTCAATAATTTTATCTTCCTTGAGACAAGTTTGATTTTCTGTAAGGAACAAATTCTGTGGTACAGTTTCCTTGTGGTCAGGGCTCATCCTTTCATGAAACACGACTGCGCTCTTACCCTTTCTATGATCTTTATCTCCTCCTCTCGATCTGCCTCCATTTCTGCCCTAGCCTGTTCCAGTTTGTCTCGTTCCATGCACACCTCTTCCAGCTGAGACTGGAGTTGCTGAACTTTCTCCTCCAGCTCCTTGACTTTGGACTCCAGTTCTGCGACTCTCTCATTGTCATCGTCGCTGTCACTGTCAGAAGAGGACTGTATTTCCTCTGCAAGCAGCAGACGATTGTTAACAAGATCCAGTATTTGTATATAGTGAATATAGTGCACAATACATTTTTGTCTTTGAATTGTTCTGTGAACAAGATTTTGACACAAAATCAACGTTCCTGTGTTAAAATTAGATGCGGTCATTATATCAAAATGCTTTGCAGCTTAGTAATTTTAGTAAAGCCAAAACAGCTGACAAAATGATGGCAGTTTGTGTATGTTAGTAATTTTAGTAAAGCCAAAACAGCTAACAAAATTATGGCAGTTTGTGTATGCATCTTCAGCGTTACGAGAAGCAGACGCACCTGCTTTCTTCTGTAGCTCATCTTGAAGCTCTCTGTTCTTCTCCTTGAAAGTTCCCAGGTCTTCCTCCAGCTGACGCAGTCTTCGCCGCACGCAGTCTGATTCTTTGTGTGCTGCTTCCAGCTCAGCTTGCAATCCTGCAACATTGCAATGATAGTTAATTAATTGAGTGTTGTTGAGATTTGAAAGAAGTTAATGTACAACGCAGAGAATCTCATATGCTCTTACTTACTACAAAAAATATCCATTCATTTATGCCCAAAAATCTTTTGAAAACTTTAAACACAATATTTTGTAGTTTTAAGCAGCGCTAATACCAGCCCACAGCTGCGCAGTAAATTTTTCATTCAGTTCATATCCATTTACATAATTCATTTTCAAAATATATTTTGATAAGATCTTTTATTTGAGAACCACAGTGAAAGTTATGAGTTGAATTTCATTTTGAACCAGTTCAATCTAAAGTAAATGATACACTACATGAAATTTGAAGTAAAAATTGTTGATATTTTTCATGCAATAATTGAACACATAAAATATGTCTCTTACATCCAAAGCTTTTTATTTTAAATATTTCTGATTTTGCAACGAAAAATACGTTATTTCTTCCTGCAATGTAAAAACGCTGATTAATTTTTGTCAGCAATGGATTTGGATCTGCAATAAATGAACATGAAGACCACTCAGGGACTCTGAATCTCAAAAAAATTCATACACAAATTGTTTATATAAATATTTTCTGTGTTCATGATATGCTCGTCCCACTTATTAATTCTGAAGTTTATTAACCCATATTTTAGCTGCAAGGTCTACAGAGGAGATCACGTATTGGCAGTGAACTGTTGGTCAATAGCCAATACTCTCACTGCAAATGTATTAATGCGTCTATTGTACTCAATGACCTACAATATGACAACTAAACATTTATTGAAATCTTGGAATCAGGCCAGATTCTTAATGGGCATCAGAGTCGAGTTGTGTGGTTAGTGACCTATTTAACCCTTCGACACCCAATTTTCATACCTAATGAAAGTAACATATTGAGAAACTGTGACAATGACTACGAGAGAACTTTATCTCAAGTGGTCCACCAAACATTGCAGCCGATATTCAGAAGGTTTGAGGTTCAAACCTCGTCTTGGATGTGGCTATCATGAGTTTTTCGTGTTTCTCTTCAGTCCCTCCAAACAAATGCTGGTATAGTGACTTAAATTAGGCCACGACCACTTCGGTCCATATAATTTCTGCCTCATTTACTAATCATACTATAATCTGATGCTATGTACTCTGAGCTGCTGACAGCGTCGTTAAATGAACTACAAAATAAATAAATAAATTAATTGTCCCAAAGTCTTTGAAATTGTACGTAACTTTTAATTTTTGTGATTTTAATTCGAACTCGTGTGGCTAGAAACATTTGTGTCCTTACTCTTCACCTAATATTTTTTGTGGGGAAAGCACGAAATAAAAAGTGCGTACAAAATTTTTCGTAAAATTTTTTGAGAGACTTAATTGTAGAAGACAGGAAAGGTGTTAGAGAAACAATGAGTGAAGATTTTGATTGAATTCAGCTGGCTCTATATATACAGTGCAGTGTCGGATTTCTGTGAACACGGTTCTATAAGCAATGAACATCTTGTCCATCTGTTTAACTGTAGAGTCTGTGAACCTTTTAAGAACACCCGTCTGCCGCGTATTCGGTACGTTCTGCGTGGCTGTCTCATTTTATGAATAGTTATTTGGGGAACAACTGTCTGATCCACTCAGTTTCAGGGTGCCTGGCGGTCCATCAAGTAGGAGGCGATCACCCAAATTTTGACGATTTACGTCGCCGGTAATTTTTCATTGTAGACATTTATCATGAATCCGAACATGGCGTCGGCCGAGTTCTTTTCCGACATTATTTTCCAAATTAATTCTTTGCCACGTTACGAACTTCACTGGCCCTCTAGTAAATTTATTATAGACACAAACCAACACGCTGTTGCATAAATATACCCGCATATTATTGCAGTGTTAATCTCACTGCACGATAATAAATTTCTCCTAATATTACGTCTAATATTTGCTGTTCTGAAGGCAGTTTTATGTGGAAAGCGTATATCTTAAAAATATCTATACTTCATGTTTAACAATTTGAAACCCTGCTTGAACATTCAGCATATGTGCATTATGTCCACAGAGTGTGTTTATAAACAGCGATTATTTCTTTAATCAGCGTTAACCAGTTGATATTTGTAATGGTGAAGTGTAGTGTTTTCTTCGCGGTACGGACTGGATTCTTAAGTTTCATTTGAAAGAGCTTCGGCTCCAAAGGTTAATTAGCGTTTTAGACGTATTACTTCCTTAAACACGGTTAACCAGTTGATGTTTGCAATGGTGAAGTGTAGTGTTTTCTTCGCGGTACGGACTGAATTCTTAAGTTTCATTTGAAAGAGCTTCGGCTCCAAAGGTTAATTAGCGTTTTAGACGTATTACTTCCTTAAACACGGTTAACCAGTTGATGTTTGCAATGGTGAAGTGTAGTGTTTTCTTCGCGGTACGGACTGAATTCTTAAGTTTCATTTGAAAGAGCTTCGGCTCCAAAGGTTAATTAGCGTTTTAGACGTATTACTTCCTTAAACACGGTTAACCAGTTGATGTTTGCAATGGTGAAGTGTAGTGTTTTCTTCGCGGTACGGACTGAATTCTTAAGTTTCATTTGAAAGAGCTTCGGCTCCAAAGGTTAATTAGCGTTTTAGACGTATTACTTCCTTAAACACGGTTAACCAGTTGATGTTTGCAATGGTGAAGTGTAGTGTTTTCTTCGCGGTACGGACTGAATTCGATCTTTGTAATGGTGAGGTGTAGTGTTTTCTTCGCGGTACGGACTGAATTCTTAAATATTTACACGAACTTCGGCTTCAAAAGGGTTAATTAGCGTTTTAGTCGTATTATTTCCTTAAACAAGGTTAACCAGTTGATCTTTGTAATGGTGAGGTGTAGTGTTTTCTTCGCGGTACGGGCTGAATTCTTAAGCTTCATTTGAAAGAGCTTCGGCTCCGAAGGTTAATTAGCGTTTTAGTCGTATTATTTCCTTAAACAAGGTTAACCAGTTGATCTTTGTAATGGTGAAGTGTAGTGTTTTCTTCGCGGTACGGACTGAATTATTAAATATCATTTGGACAAATTTCGGCTTAAGGGTTTATTTAATCTTTTTTTGTCTCATTGGCGGGATTTTGTCACTGCTGCTATGAACGATCGTGTTCCAGGGTTAACTAGCTCCCTATAAATAGTGTCTGGATTTTTCCTGTCGCCGCGCTATTTGCAGAGAAACAGCCATGAGTCTCCCATTTAGCTTGACTGCTGTCTGGTGTATAGTGAACGGGTTTATTTTTACAGTCGTAAACAGCAACGTGTTCGCAACTTCGTGCTATGCAAATTAGAACAGACTTCGCTTCTTGTAGATCGGACCACCGAGTTGGTGCGTTACCATGGCCACCTTTGAGTTCCTCACGAGATCACGAAATTGAATGAAAGGCAGACATCGACTCAATTCCTCTGTCTGTCTGTCACCCAAACCCCCCCCCCCCCAATCATTGTTCCGGCCAACTTTCTGCCTTCTGTGAAACCCCTCTCTTTCGCGCGCAACCTACACTCGTGGAGACAGAGAACCTCTCTGAAACGTCGGCCAATTTCTACCAGACGAAACGGCGCAAAATCCCAGATGACAGTCATCTTCTGCACGAATTTCTCATCTCCCCTACACGTGCTGCTTGGCACTTATGATTCTGGTCCATACAGTGACTGGACAACTCGTACAAAACTTTGTTTTGTGCTAATATCCGCGTCCAGTTCCAGCCAGAGCAAAGTTTGGGAGTACAAGACGTTTTCTATTTGTAAACTCGCTGTCTTTCCCCTGTCAATGACTACTACCAAATTAGGAGCGGCGTGACGTCGGAAAGACGTCATTACGGATCGGTTTCGTGGACAGTGAAAAACTCCATACTGCCACCTGATTGGCGAATATAAATACAAACCGCGAACTGGTTACAGCATCGTAAAATTTATAAAAATTAATTTCTCATACAGCGAGCTTTCTCCGCCGTATTTTATAACATCCAGAAGTCTTGGATTGGCCTAATGGTTTCCTTAGCATTTGATTTGCCTAATGGTTTCCTGAATCTTGGATTGGCCTAATGGCTTCCTTATCATTTGATTGGCCTAATGGCTTCCTTAGTATTAGATTGGCCTAATGGTTTCCTGAATCTTGGATTGGCCTAATGGTTTCCTTAGTATTATATTGGCCTAATGGTTTCCTTAGTATTGTATTGGCCTAATGGTTTCCTGAATCTTGGATTGGCCTAATGGTTTCCTTAGTATTAGATTGGCCTAATGGTTTCCTGAATCTTGGATTGGCCTAATGGCTTCCTTATTTTCTCTTTCTCCATCCAGGATGTGCTACGACCACTTCCTCCTTCCATTATCTTCACACATCTCTCGTTTATCTCATTCTTATTCGTTTTTAGTAATCTCTGTCAGTTGTACTCAGTTTCTGCCGTGCTCCAAGACCGACGCTTCAGGACAGCCGGACAAATGACTTTCTCTCGAGCTGTCATCATCTCGTGGTGTTCTAATGTGTTATACCAAGCGAAAATCGTAATCATTCACAAGGACAGCAACTTAAGCAAGCAGATCCGGCCAGAACTAACAAAGTTTACTTTCTCAGTGCGCAGACTCGAAGTTATGCACTTATCTAAATAACGTAAATGTATATTCATCGGTCAGCCATTTACCTATTGTATAAATAAAACAGCATTACTTTGAGGTAGGCTGTGTTGGAATAACGCTCATATTAAATTTTATAAAAATCGGACAGCTGGTTCAGGAATTGAAAAGCAAATAGACACACCGTAGCCAATAAACTGATTCATCTATCATGACAGACATAAACAGATAAACGTGATGAACGTAGAAGGAAGATGGAGGTAAAATAAAAACACAAATGCAAAATAAATGAGAGAAAAACAAATCAAATGTGCACTGAAAACAGTGGCGTATCGTTGTCTCTCACTTTAACTATTTTTGGTACGTAAAGCAAACAGCTGTTGAGTGACGTCATTCTGTCCTCTGCATGAACGACGTTAGGGCAAAATGATTTTTTACAGTTTCCCAATTGGCACGGTACGTCCTAATAAGCGTTTCTTGTATCGTGCTGACTCGCCTACAACGTAAAAACACACAAAACTGCTTTCTTGCACCTAACTGTGGGGGTGTCAACAACCTGTCAGTAACCTATTGCTCGAACAAATAATTTTATGGGGGTGTCATCCTTTCAAGCGTTAATTCAGTTTCTGCCCACTTTATTTTCTCCTGAACATCACGAGATCCTATTTTAACCCAGCTGAACGAACTAACGTGGGAGAGACGTTGGGCAGGTTCTTACTGCGTTCAAGTAGAATTTTAAATTCTGGCATTAACTTTTGATGGACTGCGTTTTGATGTCAACATTGAGGAGGGAGTTACTTTAGGGCTCAATTTTATGTTAATATCGGGAGGGCTGTATGAAAGGTATGTAGTGCAACGTGGAATTTGTTCACCGACTCACCATTTCCTTTAAAACAGAGGAAAAATTTGATCGATACGAATTAAATAATATTTAAGATTTCAGTCCGTACCGCGAAGAAAACACTACACTTCACCATTACAAGGATCAACTGGTTAACGCTGTTTAAGGAAATAATACGACTAAAACGCTAATTAACCTTTGGAGCCGAAGCTCTTTCAAATGAAACTTAAGAATTTAGTCCGTACCGCGAAGAAAACACTACACTACACCATTACACAGATTAAATGGTTAACGCTGTTTAAGGAAACAAGTGCGTAAGAACGCGTTTGAATTAAGTCTGTGGTATATTTAAGACAGACTCTGCTTAAGCGTAACAGTTAGTTTTGTTGTTGATTAGTAATGACAATTTTGATAATCAAGGAAATATTGAGTAAATGAATTGCCGTCTATGAAACTATATCAGTTTATTTCTAGAAGTGGCCAATAGTTTACCCTGGACTGCAGTCGGAATGTAAGAATGTCCGGCGGTCAGACATGACGAAAGAAGGATGTTTCTTCACGTGACTTGTAATTCAGAAAGTGTTCGTACAGTCACTTGAATTGATATTAGCGCAGATGACGTGTACACTGACGTACTAATAGTGTAATACCTGCAGCTGGTACGGAAGAGATTTTCAAATCTCTGTAGAATCTAATTATCGACATGACGCGGTGCCAGCTACTTGAAGAATCTGTTTCCATTCTTTTTGTATTTAGGTTTCGTAAGATTCTTACAGTTAACAGCGATTATTTCTTTAAACAGCGTTAACCAGTTGATCTTTGTAATGGTGAAGCCTTGTGTTTTCTTCGCGGTACGGACTGGATTCTTAAATATTTCTAGACGCGATCAGTTGATTTTGTAATGGTGAAGCCTTGTGTTTTCTTCGCGGTACGGACTGGATTCTTAAATAGCATTTACATGAGCGTCGGCTTCAAAGAGTTGTAGGTATTTTGATTTCCTTGAATAAATTACTGGGTATTATCGGTATGCATTTCGACGTAACAGATCAGTAACTGGTCAGATATTCTGCACTCGTCGCATTCCGGAACTGGGGGGCGGGGGGAGAATTTATGGATCTATGACTCAGGTCTGAAGTATCCTAATTCAATTCCACACAGGCATGAAACTAGTTAGTCTCACTGAAAAGCACAAAAGCTACTTCAACAGCCGATAACCGTAACTTCCATCTAGTGCCATAGTTAAATAATTCGTGGAGCTACACCTCCACCCCCCCTCTTCCCACGCGTGTCCATGTGCGTTAGTATGAAAACATTATTTCACACACTCACTGTCCATCCCAGAACTCTTAATGAGAACGTCTCTCTGTAGGTCCTCCATCTGGTATCGCAGTTTGTGTGACTCGTTGTCTCTCGCGGTCAACTGCGCAGTAAGTTCGGCCAACTGTTCTTGAAACCGGGCCTCCTGATTCACAAGACTCCTCCTGTAACAAATGTAAACTTTAGCCCTGTGTAAAAGCAATATAAACATCTCCAAAACTTTCTTCCGAATTCCACTCATCATGATATCACATTAATCTTTAAACTTTGTTAAATGACCGAACTACAGGGATGATTGACGACTGTGCCGTTGGCACGGCCTTTCCGCTATGCGCGATCACTGTATCGGTCGCCGCGTTTCATAGTCACAACGGCACAGCCGCCAAATATCTTCCCTGTATTTTGTAAGACGCATTATAGTTTACGTTAAAATTTAACAGATTAGTAACAAGTAACCGAAGTGGCGGAGTACAGAGGCTAAAAATATATATATTTGGGTAAGAGCATTGCGTACGTTACCACACGTGTAACCCGTGATTTCTTGCTGTGGACGGGAAGAGGTCGAATTTGAGTTTGTGGTTAACAGCGGCTTATCATGAAAAATTAGCGTCTCTTAACGCAAGAGTTCTGTTGTGTAAAGACGTAAATGTTGCGAGTGAATAATTTTTGATTATCGCCTGTGGCGAGTGGGCGTGTTGCCATGGAAACTGAAGAGCGTGGAAATTCCTTTAACCAGCTCCACGGAGCTGAGTCCTGGTTAATAGAACAATCAGCTCGTCAATAAATTCCAAAGTTTCATTACCGTATTCACAAGAACCTGCCATCGGTACCTATCCTGAGCCAGATGAATCCAATCCATACCCTCCATCTCTGTTTTCCCAAGACTCATTTTAATATTATCATCTCATCTGCGCATCCCTTCAGATTTTTTTTTTTGGCATTCGTGTTCCCTGTGCGCGGTACGTACCCCGCAAATCCATTTCATGCAAGAAAGCTAGAAGAAGGTTGGAACAGTAGAGGGTACTTTTTTATACGTTTCCTCCACTCTCGACATCTGAACATCCATCTCCGAATACAGCCACAGACAAATGTTAATGCCCTGGGGTCGACTATTTTTGAAACAGAAGATACTCTTAATGCGAGGAGGCTTCGGAAATAAGATCCGATATTTATTTGGTCCTCAGTCTCTCACGGTTGGCTTTCTGACGTCATATGTTTGCATTGTCACATCTGCGAGATGTTTTTTTTTTCCTACGCTGTAGCAAGTTTCAGTCAAGGAAATGTCAACAGAAATGTTTATCAGCAACCTGATAACGCGTCACGTGATCAGGTGTGAAGCCTCTTTGCTGTGTGTCTGTTGTTTTCACACTTGGGGAGGCCCAGGTGTTTGCCGTGGGACTTGAGAAAACTTTTACGACATTTCCT